GCGACAGAGCGAGAATCCATCTAAAAAAAAAAAAAAAAAAAGTATTTAAAGTACTTCTTTTTTGTCTCTATTATTTTATTCTATTATTTGACATTCTTGAGGAGGTTTACATTGTGTTAGTTTACTTTAATTCATTGTGAGTTATTTTCTTTTATGTTTTGAACTTTGCCATCTGAATTATTTTCAGCTGGGCTTTAATTGTGGATCCTAAGTTTTCTTAGGATTTGAGAGGAGTTTATGTTTGTATCTCTTATGTACTCCAGGGGTCTCCTTGATGCTAATGTCTTGACTAAGGTGTTCATGAACTACTTAGATAATGTCAATTGAAATCTAAACTCACACACAGCACAGGACCAGCATAGAAATATTTAGTTATTATGAGCTCAAGTCAAGCAGACAAGATTCTTGTCATTCATATCGTTTTGTTGATGGGATGGCTTTTTTCTACTTTGTTCTTTCATTGAATATGTACAGATGCTCTTTGATGTACAATGGAGTTACATCCTACTATACCTATCATAAATCAAAAATACTGTAAGTTGGAAATGCATTTAGTGTTGGTAACACTGAAGATGGTTCCCAACTTACAATGGTTTGATTTATATATATATGTTTTACTTTATAAGGATGCAAACACAATGTATTCAGTAGAAACCATGAGCCCATTGTAAGTCATAAGGAGATCCTTGATTTACCATGGGGTTACATGCTGACCAAACCATTGTAAAATCCAAAAATCTTAAGTCGAACCATCCCATGTTAAGTTGGAAACTGTCTCTATAAGTTTGTGGGAATCTCAATTTCTCAGTTATAATTCTGTCTTCATTTTCCATTGCATGAGCCAAAGTCTTTGCTATTGTTTCTTCCTCTAAATTTCCTAGTCTTCCTACCACACAAACACACTTTTCTATTCAGGACATCTGTTGCACCAGCTTAGATGCTTACCTAAGATGCTTAACTTATATGCTAGAGTTTTCGAGTTTTGATTCTCTCTTTTTGAACCCTGTAATTTCTCTTATCTTCTTTGGAGTCTTCCATGCCTTTAAAATTCATCTTAAAAAATGTATATTACCTGTCTTTCTGTTTGTAGCTGAGAGTTTTAAACAATATTACCAGAACATGAAATGCTTGCTTGCTTGCTTTCCAAGTCATAAGTTATACTTAATTGGGAACTAAAATCATAACACAGATGGGAAAGATCCTAAATAATGTATCAAAACATTGCATCAAAATGTCATTATAAAAAAATCAACAATGTGAATTTTTTTTTTTTTTTTTTTTTGTGAGACAGAGTCTTACTCTTGTCCCCCAGGCTGGAGTGCAACTGGGCAATCTCGGCTCACTGCAACCTCCACCTCCTGGCTTCAAGTGATTCTCCTGCCTCAGCCTCCCAAGTAGCTGGGACTACAGGCTCCAGCCACCACACCTGGCTAATTTTTGTATTTTTAATGGAGATGGGGTTTCACCATGTTGGCCAGGCTGATCTCGAACTCCTGACCTCAGGTAATCCGCCCACCTCAGCCTCCTGAAGTGCTGGGATTACAGGCGCGAACCACCATACTTGGCCAACAATGTGAATTTTTGAATTATTTAGAAGTAACACAAACACTTATCTTAGAACTGACAAAGGTTCTACTGAAAGTCCTTTACTTCTGTTTCTTTGCCTGAATTATTTCAAGTGTTTCATATTTACTACCCTCTTTTCAGTACCACACTAATATAAATGTGTTGATAGATTGAATTAATATTCTAGCTCCGAGACCTACTTTTGAACTGTCATCTGTTCAAATCTTTATGTGATTACCACTAGTGTTGTGCTGGTCTGGTAGACGTAACTGATCCATAAAAATTAAATTGGTTAAGACTGTCAGGGTGATCTGTTTGTTTTTTTATGCAAGGTTATTCAGAGCACTGTAAATAAAAAAAAACCCCTGAAAGAGAAATGTAATTACTTTGAGATTAAAAAATAAAGTAGATGGCAATGTTTGAAGATAATGGACAGTTACTATTATTATTGGCATATTTATTTCTAATGCTTGCAACGCATATTGAAAGCATTTTTATTTATTATTAACACTATTGAGATTACTATGGAAAGTAATAAGATGAACATAATGAACAATCATATTTTATCCCATTGTTAATGTCTGAAATAAAGCATTTCACTGATCAGGCTGTGTTAACGGATAATTAGATTCCTTCGTTATTTATTTTTTATTAGAGGTGTTCGTTAGAAGCCAAGTAAGTATGTCATAGTGGTAATTGGTTCTCATGGCCTTAGAAAGGACACTGAGTTTTTTTAATAGAAGGATTTCTGTCTTTTAAAAACAATCTTTTCGTACTATCTTAATAAATTAAACTATAGCTCATTTAACCCAAGTACCTTCCACTTCTCTTCTCTGGTTAATGATCATCTTTCATTCTCAGTGTTTAACTGGAAGACTTGAGAATATACTGATGGTGTGGAATATTGCTCTGATGGTTTATAGAAATTACACTTTGGATCGCTGCTTTTTCCCCTAAATGATTGTCCATGAGCATTAACTCTCTGTTCTCAGCAGCTTTGAATACTTGACTCCTTAAAACTTCCAATATTTTCACCTCCCTCTTAGCTAACGTACTCTAGAAGTGCAGAGAATGAAGGAAGATTCAGTGTTTATTGTGTGCAGCATGCTTTTTACACATTGTTTAATTTAAATAACTCACTCTGGGACTGCCTTTATTTGTAAAAACTTCCATGAAAGGACATTCTTAGCAATTAAAAGTAAAATAATTTGGATAATAATAGCAGATATTTATTGAGTGCTTAATCTGTAAAAGATTTAAATCTCTCTGACTTAATCCTTACATGAACACTTGTGGTTGAGGTAGATACTATTATTATCAACATTTTGAGGAGGATGCTGTGCTTTGCAGAGATTGACTTACTTGTTTAAGGTGAAACTGCTAATATGTAGCAGAGCTGGGACTTGAACCTCAGTCCAAATGACACCAAAATCTGCTTTTAACTATTATGCAATACTGTCAGTTCCATGAGACAGGGAGCAGTTTTGTCTGCTATCCCTAGAACCTAGCAAAGTGCCTTTTACCTACTAGGAGTTTGGTATATCTTTGTTGGATGAATGAAAAAAGTTGAGTGAACTGGAAAAATACTTCCTTACATTTAATGTAAATTGTGTTTTTTTTCATTTGTCATATTATTAGGGAAAAAATAATTTGTCAATGTTTTCTTTGTTAAAGTATGTGTTTTCTTTGTTAAAGTATGTGATGTTGCCTTGGCACTTTTGGTTTAGTTTGCAATCTATTAATAATTTGGCTTAGTTTGTAATCTGTTAATAATTTTCATGCTCCTATTTATTTTTCTACTAGGTAATTGCTCTTCCAGTAGAGTAAACTGTCATGGATATTAGTGCTTTCATTAAGATCTCGGAAGTGTTAAAAGCTAGGTTTCTGTTAAGTGTTGCAATTTAAATTGAGTAAGATGTTAGCTTTTTCTTTTAATTAAAGTCTTTACTAAATCAGTATGTATAAATACTAAAGAAGATTGTCTTGCAAAATGTAAAACATTAGGGAAGGACAAAAAAATTAAACACTGGAAAACAGATCTTTTTCTTACGAATCTGTAACTGTGATCAGTCGCTGATGAGTATAATGCTGCATCCTTGTTCTGCTACTGGGCTTTAGCAGAAAGCATGTCTTAAATCACCCTGGATTACTGTATCTCCAGCCCAAAGATCATTCAGTGGCTGTAGTGTGCTGGTTTAGGAACTTGTGGGAAAGTTGGCAGACTTTGTTCCATCATGGGTTGATTTCTCTGGTGAGTGAAGCCTAATTATCGTTTAGATTCATCAGAGAAAAAGCTTCAGTTTTTTCTTCTAAGATTCTTGTTATAAGTTCCTTTACTACTTTTTTACCTTCTGGCCAAGAAGAAAAGGAGAGAAAAATTATTGTCTTTAAAAATTCCTGATTTAAATGAAAACCTCACTATTACTCTTTTATTTTTCCATTAGTACATTTTCTGCAAGTCCATTCCAAAGCCTGGGATTGTGTTTTTCTTAACTCATGTGAGAAGTCATCTTTCCTAGTGGCTTTCTGAGCAATAGTTACATGAACTTCTTAATTTGAATCATTGCAATTGAAAATCATGTTTCCCCTTAATGATCTTATCAAGATTTCAATTTGCATATAAAACTGCCTGCGGGTTCAACCAGTTCCTGAAATAATTCAAGTTTTAATCCAAATTTATCAGTACAGAAATTAAAACACATGTAAACAGCACTTAATGCTTTAAAACAGCTGTGTGATGATTTCTTCACAGTGCTCCCCCGATGATTAAATTATTAAATCACTCTGCATCCTTTTCTGGGCCACACTGTTCTAGATTTTTAGCATTTCCTCAGATAATTTATTTCTTAATTCTTATTTCAAAGCACCATTTAATTTCCATTTTCTTCTACTTTGAGAACACTGGAATAGAACATTTTGTGCCAATCAAATGCAACGAGTATTTAATACAATGGGAATATTATTCTTCATAGCTCAACAATTCTATTGATCAGTATGGAGATTACTAGAAGGATTCTCAGTAAAAATTTAAATAGAGCTACAGTCATTAGCCATTTCTTGGTATTCATGGGAGATTGGTTTCAGGACCTCTGTAGATATCAAAGTCCACAGATGTTCAAGTCCCTTGTATAAAACGGGATAGTATTTGCGAATAAACTATGCACATCTGTTATACTTTGAATCATCTCTAGATTGCTTATAATACCTAATACAACATAAATGCTGTGTAAATAGTTATTATACTGTAGTATTTAGGAACTAATAAAGTAGAAAAAGCCTGTACATGTTTAGTACAGCTCCAACTATCCATTTTTTCTTCTTTTGCATGTGAACTGAAATATAACCATTCTCTTTCTTTCTCTTTCCTCCCTTTCATCTCTCCTCCTTCCATTTTCTCTCTCCTCCTGCTCCTCATTTTCTCCTATCCTAACCAGGGTCCCCGTGGTCCTGAGGGAGTACCAGGAGAGAGGGGCTTACCCGGAGAAGGATTTCCAGGACCAAAGGTAACAATACCTTCAGTACCAGGAAAAGGTGCTTTGTCTTGCATGCTCATGAATTACAAATTTTAAAAATGTGTCCTAGCCAACTTTTAGAAGTATTTTTCTGACCATCTTTATTCTATTAAATGAAGGAATATGTAATTTTCCCTGTAATGTGAAAGTACAGTAAAATTTGGAACTACAAATAAGTAATTGAAAGACTTCTACTTCATGTAATTACTACATATGAAATTACAAAAATCTCTTAAAGTAGTTTGCAGTCATTAAAGCCACAGCAATAAATAACATCCTTATGCCCAGAAGTTAAATCATTATGTGTAGCTATGGCAATGCTTTGCTCACAGCTTTGTTTGTGAAACACAGATAAGAAACCAATCTGTAATAGTACTGCCATCAATATAATAAGAAAGAAAATTTTACCACAGGAACAAAATGTTACGAAAGACCTCTTTTACCTGGCCATTGAGAATTTCCTATCATTTCCCGTATATAATTCTTGAGCTCAAGTTGTTCTGTACCAAGGGTTGGCAAACTTTTTCTGTAAAGGGGCAGATAGCAAATATTTTAGGCTTTGTGAGCCATATGGTATCTGCTGTAACTGCTTAACTCTGCTGTTGTAGCTCGAAAGCAGCCATAAACAGTGTATAAATGAATGAATGTGACTGTTCCAATAAAACTATATTTATAATTAAAAAAACAGGCAGTGGGCTGAATTTGGCTTATGGGCTGTAGTTTGCTGTCCCCTGCTATAGGCAGTTTGTATATAATCTTTGGCACATTTGCTGAAGGCCACATTAAAAAGGGTTTTCCAAAATACTTTGAGCAGCATCGACAATGTTTCAGAGTATGTAAAGATACATTTTGGAGTCCTTCTTCCTTTATTTCCAAAGTCTTCCCTCAAAACACACACATGCATATACACACATACTGCCCAGAGAAGTACATGCAGCTTTCTAAGTGGCTGAGACCCTCCACATCAGTCATTCCATCAGGTTACTAAGATATGACCTTCTCAGTATGGCCTCATGCTCTAAAAGTGCATTTCATTCTCAGCTCCTTCCACCATGATCAATATTCAATTACCTGTGAGAATCCTAAATCTCTACTAGAGGGAAAACAATTAGATAAAAACAAATAATTCATCCTCAGTTGTGAGTGACAAAGATGCCCTTGTTAACAAACACATTTTAATTTGCCATGATAATGGAAATAATATGTTGGATAAAGGGATATTACTAACACCTCTGACTAATCACAGTATCACCATCAGAAGACAGGTCAGTGACTTGGCATGACATCACGGAAAATTTTATAATACACAGTTTGAAATTTTTTTGGCACTTAGTAAATTTCTATTTCTATTTATGTGTAGCCCAAATAATCTGAAAAATTCAAATAGAATTATTTCTCTTTAAAATCTATGTTTTTTAAAGAGAAAGAAATAAATGAGAAATGAATATGTGAAACATTAAGAAGAGTATTCCAGGGTATTTCATAACGACAGGTTCAACATACTTTTATATTACATAAAGTATCATCATACTTTAGTGATACTCTTGTATGTAATAGCTCATGGGCGCTGACCTCTATCTCATCAAAGAAAGAACACATCATATTCTGTGCTGTTATAGGGTCAAGTATATGCAGTTATATTCTGTGGTAATGATCAGAAGAACCCATTAGTCAGAATATTTCATTCCTCAACCAGTCAGACCAATGGGTGTTCTCTGTATGTGCTATTTGGGGCTAATTTGTAAATGTTCTTTGATTTTACTCTTGGTTCTAATAAATTTATTAAATGAATGCTACTTCTGATTGATTATATGGTTTATTTTTCATAAAAATGCATGAAGTATTATGACAATATAAATTATATTAAGGACAGAGTTGTTCACTTAGGTCATGTAACTATAGAAGCATATCCAAGAAGATTTTCCATGAATTATTTTAAACATAAATTTTCAATAAATGTTTATAAACACAGACAAAAAAACTTAGTGATCTAATCCTAGCAAGTATTCGTTCACATATTAGTATGAGAGATAAATTTTCCTTTTGTGATGGACCCAGTTTCAGCAATATTAAGGAAAAGGAAGCTTGATCCAGCTAGTTACACTACGTGATTGATTAAGTGCTCCATTTCCAGAATATTTTTGTTTAAATTGGGAACTGAGCTCTTTTCTAACTTCAGTGATGCTACATATGTGTTTTGCTTGGATAGCTTCCTTCTTGTTTAAGTGTTATGACTAATGTATTTTTTGCAAGTTGCAAATCTCAGAGTCAATTAGAATTACCCATTTGTAGTAAACAATGACTATGGATGCTTGATTTAAAAAATAATTTTGAAGCACAATTCATAGTATTTGTAATGTAAACTCTTTTAAAATTCGGATTTTGGTTGGTGCATTGATATCCTTCCCTTGTACTTTCAGGGTGAAAAAGGTTCTGAAGGACCAACTGGCCCACAGGGATTACAAGGCCTGTCAATCAAAGGGGACAAGGTACCGTATAATAGGGTATACACTAGAAACAATGCCAATAAAATTGTCATCGTTTTTTATGTATGTACATTTCTGAACTATATACATGACAACCATGCCACACAGGTATCTGGTTAATTATAAATCTAGTATGTTCTTTTTTTAAAATTAAATTTTTTTAATTTCCATAGGTTATTTAGGAACAGGTGGTGATAGGTTACATAAGTTCTTTAGTGGTGATTTGTGAGATTTTGGTGCGCCCATCACCCAAGCAGTATATAGTGAACCCAATTTGTGGTCTTTTATCCCTCACCCTCTTCCCATGTTTTGCCTGAGACCCCAAAGTCCATTGTGTCTTTTTTATGCCTTTGCATCCTCATAGCCTAGCTTCCACATATGAGTGAGAACATATGATGTTTGGTTTTCTATTTCTGAGTTACTTCACTTAGAATAATAGTCTCCAATCTCATTCAGGTCATTGCGAATGCTATTAATTTATTCCTTTTTATGGCTGAGTAGTATTCCATCATATATGTGTATATACACACACACACACACACACTGTAATATATGTATCATAGTTTCTTTATCCACTCATTGATTGATGGGCATTTGGGTTGATTCTATGTTTTTACAATTGCAAATTGTGCTGCTATAAACATGTATGTGCAAGTACCTTTTTCGTATAAGACTTCTTTTCCTCTGGGTAGATACCCAGTAGTGGGAATGCTGGATCCAGTGATAGTTATACTTTTAGTTCTTAAAGGAATCTCCACACTGTTTTCCATACTGGTTGTACTAGTTTACATTCCCACCAGCAAGGTAGAAGTGTTCACTGTTCATTGCATCCACGCCAACATCTATTATTTTTTGATTTTTTGACTATGGCCATTCTTGCAGGATAAGGTGGAATCACATTGTGGTTTTGATTTGCATTTCCCTGATCATTAGTGGTGTTGAGCATTTTTTCATGTTTGTTGGCCATTTGTATATCTTCTCTTGAGAATTGTGTATTCATGTCCTTAGCCCACTTTTTAATGGGATTGTTTGTTTCTTTCTTGATAATTTGTTTGAGTTCATTGAAGATTCTGAGTATTAGTCCTTTGTCAGATGTATAGATTGTGAAGATTTTCTCCCATTCTGTGGGTTGTCTGTTTATTCTGCTAACTGTTCCTTTTGCTGTGCAAAAGCTTTTTAGTTTAGGTCCCAGCTATTTATCTTTGTTTTTATTGCATTTGCTTTTGGGTGCTTCATTATTAAATCCTTGCCTAAGCCAATGTCTAGAAGGGTTTTTTCAATGTTATCTTCTAGAATTTTTATAGTTTCAGGTTTAGATTTAAGTCCTTGATCCATCTTGAGCTGATTTTTGTATAAGGTGAGAGATGAGGATCCAGTTTTATTCTTCTACATGTGGCTTGCCAATTATTACAGCTGAATTATTCCAGTTGAATAGGGTGTCCTTTCCCCACTCTATGTTCTTGTTTGCTTTGTCAAAGATCAGTTGGCTGTAAGTATGATGGTTTATTTCTGGGTTCTTTATTTTGTTTCACTGGTCTATGTGGCTATTTTTATACTGGTACCATGCTGTTTTGGTAACTATGGCCTTATAGTGTGGTTTGAAATCAGGTAATTGATGCCTCCAGATTTGTTCTTTTTGCTTAGTCATGCTTTGGCTATGTGGGCTCTTTTTTGGTTCCATATGAATTTTAGAATTGTTTTTTCTAATTCTGTGAAGAACGATGGTGGTATTTTGATGGGGAATTTCATTGAATTTGTGGATTGCTTTCGGCAGAATGGTCATTGTCACAATATTGATTCTACCTATCCATGAGCATGGGATGTGTTTCCATTTGTTTGTGTCATCTACGATTTATTTCAGCAGTGTTTTGTAGTTTTCCCTGTAGAGGTCCTTCACCTCCTTGGTTAGGTATATTCCTAAGTATTTTATTTTATTTTTCGCGGCTATTGTAAAAAGGGTTGAGTTCTTGATTTGATCCTCAGCTTGCTTGCTTTTGGTGTACGGAAGAGCTACTGATTTGTGTACATTAATTTTGTATCTGAAAACTTTGTTGAATTCTTTTATCAATTCTAGGAGCTTTCTGGAGGAGTCTTTAGGGTTTTCTAGGTAAACAATCATATCATCAGCAAACAGACAGTTTGACCTCCTCTTTACCAATTTGGAAGTTCTTTATTTCTTTCTCTTATCTGATTGCTCTGGCTAGGGCTTCCAGTACTATGTGGCAGAGGGGTGGTGAGAGTGGGCGTGCTTGTCTTGTTCCAGCTCTCAAAGGAAATGCTTTCAGCTTTTCTACATTCAGTATTATGTTGGCTATAGGTTTGTCATAGACGGCTGTTACTACCTTGAGGTTTGCTCCTTGTATGCCAATTTTGCTGAGAGTTTTAATCATAAAGTGATGCTGGATTTTGTCAAATGCTTTTTCTGCGTCTATTGAGATGATCATGTGATTTTTGTTTGTTGTTTTGTTTTTTTGAGGCAGAGTCTCACTTGTTGCCCAGGCTGGAGTGCAGTGGTACCATTTCAGTTCACTGCAACCTCCACCTCACAGGTTGAAGCAGAAGGCTCCTGCCTCAGCCTTCTGAGTAGCTGGGATTGCAGGTGCCCACCACCACATCCAGCTAAATTTTATATTTTTAGTAGAGATGGGGTTTCACCATGTTGGCCAGGCTGGTCTCGAACTTCTGATCTCAAGTGATACACCGGCCTTGACTTCCCAAAGTGCTGGGATTACAAGTGTGAGCCACTGTGCCCAGCCTGTTTTATTCTGTTCATGTGGTGTATCACATTTATTGACTTGTGTATGTTAAACTCATCCCTGCATCCCTGGTATGAAACCCATTTGATCATGGTGGATTATCTTTTCTATATATTGTTGGATTCAGTTAGCTAGTATTTTGTTAAAGATTTTAGCATCTATGTTCAGCAGGGATATTGGTCTGTAGTTTTCTCTTTTGGTTATGTCCTTTCCTGGTTTTGGTATTAGGGTGATACTGGCTTCATAGAATGTTTCAGGGAGGGTTCCCTTTTTCTCTATCTCGTGGAATAGTGTCAATAGGATTGATACCAATTCTTTGAATGTCTGGTAGAATTTTGCTGTGAATCCGTCTAGTCCTGGACATTTTTTGTTGGTAATTTTTAAATTACCATTTCGATCTCACTGCTTGTTATTAGTCTGTTAAGGGTATCTACTTCTTCCTGATTTAAGCTAGGAATGTTGTATCTTTTCAGGAATTTATTCATCTCCTCTAGGTTTTCTAGTTTATGTGCATAAAGGTGTCCATAGTAGCCTTGAATGATCTTTTGGATTTCTGTTTGGATTTCTTTTTGATTTTTAGTGCCAGTTGTAAATCTCCTGTTTCATTTCTAATTGAGCTTATTTGGATTTTCTCCCTTCTTTTCTTGGTTAATCTTGCTAATGGTCTATCAATTTATCTTTTCTTTTCTTTGTCTTTTTTTTCTTTTTTTTGAAACGGAGTCTTGCTCTGTCCCCCAAGCTGGAGTTCAGTGGCATGATCTCGGTTCACTGCAAGTTCTGCCTCCTGGGTTCATGCCATTCTTCTGCCTCAGCCTCCCGAGTAGCTGGGACCACAGGTGCCCGCCACCACACCCGACTGACTTTTTTGTATTTTTAGTAGAGATGGGGTTTCATCGTGTTAGCGGATGGTCTCAATCTCCTGACCTTGTGATCCGCCCGCCTTGGCCTCCCAAAGTGCTGGGATTACAGGTGTGCGCCACCACACCCAACCAATTTATCTTTTCAAAGAACGAGTTTTTGTTTCATTTATCTTTTGAAGTTTTTATATTCAATTTCATTCAGTTCTGCTCTGATCTTGGTTATTTCCTTTCTGCTGAGTTTGGGTTTGGTTTGTTCTTGTTTCTCTAGTTCCTTGAGGTGTGACCTTAGATTGTGCTCTTTCAGACTTTTTGATATAGGCATTTAGGGCTATGAACTTTCCTCTTATCACCACCTTTGCAGTGTCCCAGAGGTTTTGATAGGTTGTGTCACTATTGTCATTCAGTTCGAAGAATTTTTAAATTTCCATCTTGATTTCATTTTTGACCCAATGATCTTTCAGGAGCAGGTTATTTAATTTCCATGTATTTGCATGGTTTTGAAGGTTCATTTTGGAGTTGATTTCCAGTTTTATTCTACTGTGGTCTGAAAGACTGCTTGGTATAATTTCAATTTTCTTGAACTTATTGAGGCTTGTTTTGTTGCCTTTGATACGCTTTATCTTGGAGAAAGTACCATGCACTGTTGAGTAGAATGTATATGTTGTGGTTGTTGGGTAGAACATTCTGTAAGTATCTGTTAAGTCCATTTGTTCCAGAGTATAGTTTAAATCCATTGTTTCTTTGTTGACATTCTGTCTTGATGACCTGTCTAGTGCTGTCAGTGTAGTATTGAAGTGCACTACTGTTGTTGTATTGCTGTCTCTCTCATTTCTTAGGTATATTAGTAATTGTTTTATAAATTAGGGAGCTCCAGTGTTAGGTGCATATATATTTAGGACTGTGATATTTTCCCGTTGGAAAAGGCCTTTTATCATTATATAATGACCTTCTTTGTCTTTAACTGTTGCTACTTTAAAGTTTGTTTCATCTGGTATAAGAATAGCTACCCCTGGTTGCTTTTGGCATCCATTTGCATGAAATGTCATTTTCTATCCCCTTACCTAAAGTTTAAGTCAGTCCTTATGTGTTAGGTGAGTCTCCTGAAGTCAGCAGATAGTTAGTTGGTGAATTCTTATCCATTCTGCAATTCTATATCTTTGAAGTGGAGCATCTAGGCCATTTACATTCAATGTTAGTATTGAGATGTGAGGTACCATTCATCATGCTATTTGTTGCCTGTATACCTTTTTTTTAAATTGTATTTTTGTTTTATAGGTCCTGTGAAATTTATAATTTAAAGAGTTTCTGTTTTGATGTGTTTCCAGGATATGTTTCAAGATTTAGAACTCCTTTTGGTAGTTCTTGTTGTGCTGGGTTGGTAGTGGCA